AACTGTTCCTCCAGTCTTTCTAAAGGTACACTAGTTCTAAAATTTGAGTCTGAGCCCCGAACAAGCCCAGACTTGATCACATGGCCTATAGCCCTCCCACAACAAAGAAGTTAAAGAAAACTGCAAACCAATACACACCTATACAATGCTGTTGTTTATTTGTTCAGTCACTTCTGACTCTTTGTGACCAACTGGACCAGCCCACGCCAGAGCTCCTTGTCAGCCGTTGCCATTCTAGCTCCTCCAAGGTCAAGCCAGTCACTTCAAGGATAACATTCATCTATCTTGCCCTTGGTCGGCCCCTCTTTCCTTTTTCCTTCCATTTTCACCAGCATCATTATCTTATATACATAACAAAAAACTAGTGGAGGCTTGAGAAGGTTGCTATTTTCAACAATTTGGACTCAAGCCGAGGTAGATGCACTAAAAGGAAAAAATCAGGAAACAACCTTACATCCTTTAAGTGATATTGATCAGAAGTATTGACCATGTAATATTGATAGTTGAGAATTATTACAGGTGAAACAAACTGCTAAAGAGAAAATATTGAGTAAATGCATAAAAAAGAAAATAAAGAATGCCAATACATAGATGATATGTAGGTGGGTAGGTAAGTAGATAATTCATTGAGCATAACAAAACAAGAGAACACAATTTAAAGAAAATTATGAAAAATTATTTTCAAGTCAAGCCAACCACATGGTTAGTATATTAAGAACCTCCAAAGAAAATCCGAGGAGTGGAACATCTAGAAATGTTTATAGAACAGAATCCCAAAAAACCAACCCTGAAGAACTTGTACTGTACAACAGGTGCTTCAGACAAATAACATCAAAGCAAACATCAAGGGAAATCTAAGTAAGGATGTGCAATACTGTTGAAGCAAAGAGATAAATTAAGCTATTGATCATCTGATTATCATCATGGAGCAAGACCCATGAATAAAAGAAATGGCACATTAAAGTGGCTGCAAAGGTACACTGGAATCTCTGAAAACGTTGTCCAAATTAGTGACATAAAATGACATGGGAATTTGATTCAATCTGACAAATAATTAGAACATAGTATGCCACAAACAAATGTGGCTGAGAAAAGATACTTTGGGTTATAGATGTGGCATACCCTGGGAATAGCAGATTTGGAGATAAAGATGGAATAGATTCTGAAATAATGAGACTTACAAACACATTTCACACCTCTGAGAAATAGTCTTGATAGGCACTCTTGATGTTATTCCAGACTGACAAACATCTAAACGAGAGCTTCAAATAGGAACACAATAGCATAACCTTATGCCACCTTATCTAATAGTGCTGCATTTATTTTAAAATCTTTAGGAAGAATCTGAAGTATTGAAGGACCAAAATTTCAGTTTTTAATATCTGACTGCGAATTGAAGTTTCTGAAACTATGAATAACATTATTCAAGTATAAAAGTTTCTTTGTGGGCAAATAATAATAATAATAATAATAATAATAATAATAATAATAATAATAATCTTTATTTATAACCCACCATTATCTCCCCGAAGGGGACTCGGGATGGCTAACATGAGGCCAAGCCCAAAATAATACAACCTAGTAAACACACAATAACAAAACACATCATAAGAAAATATGCAATAACAAATAAATTCAACAATATAAAACAGCATAATAAAATCCGACACAGAGGGCGGGCCAAATGTATGAGGTAAAATGTTAAAAAGTTAAAACCCTGGGTGAGATAGGAATGAAAATGCATTTGTAAGAGAGGAGCCCAACAGGGAGGAGCAGTGGAATTTAGCCATTTAGGGGGGCAGGGAAGCTGCTTTATTCTGAGGGCATCTATAGGCTAAAACAACTGGATGGGTTGAGTGGTCATTCTCTGAAGGCGCATCGGAAAAGCCAGGTTTTTAGATCTTTCTTAAAAGAAGCTAGGGTGGGGTCTTGCCTGATCTCCCTAGGCAGCGAGTTCCAGAAGAAGGAGGCCACAGCAGAAAAGGCCCTCTCCCTCATGCCCATAAGACGGGTCTGTGATAGAGGAAGGGGCAAGAGAAGGGCTTCTTCAGAGGATCGAAGAGATCGTGCAGGTTTGTGGTAGGATGCACCTTGAATAGGGACTGGAAGATAAACGGCAGCCAATGGAGCTCCTTAAACAGGAAGGTTGACTGCTCTCTGTAATTCACCCCGGCGAGAAGTCTGGTTTCTGAGCATTGGATCACTTGAAGTTTCCAGGCCATCTTCAAGGGAAGCCCCAAATTTAGTGCATTGCAATAGTCCAATCTAGAGGTAACTAAGGCGTGGACCACTGTGGTCAAGTCAGACTTCACGAGGTATGGTCGCAGCTGGCGCACAAGTTTTAATTGTGCAAAGGCCCTCCTGGCCATCGCCGACACCTGCACACCGTCAACACTGAGTCCAGGAGGACCCCCAAGCTGCGGGCCTGCGCCATCAGGGGAAGTGCAACCCCGTCCAGCACAGGTTACCACCCAAATATTTATTTGGGATGTATCTGTGGTTTCTACTCTGGAAATGAACACCTGCTTCCTTCTTGTTGGGATGCACATATTTTGACAAGCTTCTAGATTATATGTTAAATTCTTGTGCTATTCTTCAAGAATTTACTTCTGTTGCATTTTTAAAGCCAGTTTGTCCATATTCCAGTTCTAGGCCCAAGCAAAATATTTATTTGTTTCGTGTCAGGAGTGACTTGAGAAACTGCAAGTCACTTCTGGTGTGAGAGAATTGGCTGGCTGCAAGGGTGTTGCCCAAGGACACCTGGATGTTTTACCATCCTTGTGGGAGGTCTCTCTCATGTCCCTGCATGGGAGCTGGAGCTGACAGAGGGAGATCATGTGTGTTTTCCACGGATTTGAACCTCCGACCTGTCGATCTTCAGTCCTGCTGGCACAAGGGTTTAACCCATTGTGCCACTGGGGATGTTTGTGAAAGGTATTGAACTTAAATTTATACTGTTTCCCCCTCTAAATCAGGCCTGCACTACCTGCGGCCCTCCAAGTGTTTTAAATTCAGCTCCCAGAATTCCTGGTTAGGGCTTCTGGGAGTCTGAGTCCCATACACCTGGAGGGCCACAGGTTGTGCAAGGCCTGCTCTAAATGGAAGGTAATACCAGAGTATACAGGGATTTTTTTTTCAAAGAACTAATTGCCAGCCAGGTCTGGTGGATATTTTTAAAAAGAAAGCCTGTCCATAAAAACACCATCAACTCAGCAGTGAAATAACATTTCCATTCAAAGGCTATTTAAACAGAGTACAAGCAGTCATTCTGTGACCCACCGCATTAAAAAGGCAAGCTCAGGTTAGATTGACACAGCTATTTACCAAGTGGCCTGGCATTATATGACTTTCCAGAGTAGTAAGATAGATAGCACTAGAAGACCCACAGTGAACTCATCACAAGAGGGACCTGGTTCTCTGAAATCACAAATAACTCCAGACCTGATGCCTCTCATAGTGGGTTCAGATCTCTTCACACTAAACTGAAATGGCTAAAGCTCAATGCCTGGAAATTGAGAGAAGCATGTTAAAAAAGCCATATTGTACCCTGACAAATATGATCCTGGCTTCCAGGTATGCCTTGAACACTAGGATCTAGGAGTATACCTTCAGTTTTTCACAGGTGTTGCAAATGTAAACATCCCCCTTCCTCAAGATCTTCTCTGCTGCCATTTCTTCAGGAAGACATTGACCAAAGTTTAGAGCCGGCATGGTTAAAGGCGAAGTGCAACTATCATTATAAGGAAGTCATTTTCACTTCGGCCAAGGGCTCCTTTGACTGGAATAGTGGGGCAGCAGACATTGGGGAGATACCAGCATCACCTGCTCTTGCCTGGGGAGCCCTGGTATTTTCTCACTCTCTCTTTATTGCTAATTAATAACATTAATTCTTACGTGTGTTATGCTCATTTCCAGCAGCAAAGGGATGAACATCCTACTCATCTAGGAATATGCTAGTTTGGGGATACCACCTACATGTGAACAGCACTGGGGATTTAAATCCCTCTTACCTATGCTTACCAGCAATTCAAAAAAGAGGAAGAGTATTTCATCTCAGAGCATTCATTACCTTAATATTGATTGCCCTTTCTGGGGTTTACTCCCCTAGGAACACTCACAAAAGGCCTACCTTAGTCCTGCCTATCAGGGTATGTGAGAGGAGCAGCTCATCCAAAGGGTTAGTTTATTCACCGCAGGAAATTTAACATGTAAGAAACAACTGTTAACATAGAAATGGCAGGACAGATTTCAGAGAACCAAAGTGGTCCTTTATCATACTGCTCCCTTAAGTTTCAAATGATCATTATTTAACTGAGCAAAGTATTTCCGATTTGGATAGTACTTCATAAATCAAAATACAAATTAGATAATGCAGACTATATGAATTTGTCCTGTCTCTCTGTGTCTTAATTCTCTTGCACTGTAAATAAAACATCAGAATTTCCTACTCCATATCCATTTTTGTTCCCATCTTTTATAGCAAAAAGTTATATACAGATTTTCAAGCAAAAATATGGTAAGTAATTTTCCCCATAGGAATATTGTAGCTCAAGACAACATTCCTAAAGTATTTATTTTGTTTTCTGCTGCTCTAGAGGATACATACAGCCAGTGGTTCAATTGATTCAAATTACAAGAAAGGAGATTCTAAGTAAATATTTAAAAGCCCTTCTGAGCACTGAAACCTGTTCAGTATCTTGGAATTGCGAGGTACTTTTTTCCTGGGAGATTTTTAAATGGAGGTTGGATAGACATCTGTCAGGAATATATTTAGCTGTAGTTTCCAGGTATGGGATTGAATTAAGCGTCTCTTGACAACCCTTAATTTTTAAAAAGAAATGTGTATATAAGTGCAAGAAATATAGCTGGCTTCCTCATCTTCCCTACCTGGGATATCTATAAGCACATATATTTTCAAGCACACAAATGCGTAAAATCAAGCATGACCTATACAAATTCTGACTTGTGCTTTCCTCAACACCAAGAAATAGAAAATCAGGTTTAATTAAATGTTACTATTTTATTTGTGAAAAAAACTACAAGCAGAATTCATAAATAGACATTTCTATTTAAAGCAGGGAAATGATAAAGTGGCTTCTAATAACAGTCGTGCACATGCCGGTAACAGGAATATATTAACATCTTTTATTTGCTAGACAAAGAGCAGTGTCCAATATAAATTTCCCGAAAACATTTAAAACCTGTGAATTTTTCTGACCAGTTCACAAAACCACCATTGACACTTTTAGCATGAAGATTAAAAACAAACCTAACAGGACTGTCAGCTCTAAAGACTTTACAGAGCAGAAAACTTCCAAAAGCGTTATACAAGCTGTCTTTCTGGGCAAATGAAAAATATAGCTCGTATAATACATTAACATAAAAATCCACAAGATAAAATTATGTCTTGACATACTTAAACAAGCATTCTCTATTTGTCTCCAAACAAACAAAGCTAAAGAAATAATGTAACCATCTTTACACAGTAAATTAAGGTTACAAGTCATACACAAGAACAGAACTGCTTGCGCATTAAAAACTGTTCAGCTCCATTGTCATATCCTAAATGTTGGCTCTCAAACCATTTTTTCAGTTACATACAAGCAAAGGTTATTATAGTCAGCAAGTAATAATTTTCAATAATTTACGTTAACGGCTGTTAAAAAAAGTAGACTGAAAATGGGAATAAGGCAGATGGAAGTGTCTCTCACTGAATAAAGATACTGCCTGCTTTTAAAATAGAAAACTGACTTTTAACAAGCAAAATTATTTCAATTAAAACTGCCCATCTTAAACATATTATAACTTTTAAATTGTTCCCTTTGCATGACTCTTTCGAAATGAACAAGTCAAGCAAGCTGCTGTGTATATGGGTGTGCACACGGATGTGTCTGTGCATGTGTGAAGTGTAAAAATTGAAACTTGCAAATGTAACACTGTGCTTTTTCCTTACCTGCTTTCTGTGCCACTGGCTACCAAGTATTTTTTGGCCCTTCCTCTACACAATTTAAAAACATGCTCTCTGACTACATTATGGCTAACTGAAATGCAGAAAAGTGAGGGGACTTCCATTAAGGGTGTTGTCTGGTCACAATGCAACAAGCTAAAAATGCGGCCCAAGAAAGTTTGAATGCTTAGCTGACAATTTCAGCCAAATGCAGTTTCATTCACTCCACTTGTGCCAAAGATAGATTTGCATACTTTATTCTTACGAGCTAATATGTCACAGAGGCACACTTTACAAAGAAAAGAAAGAAAAGGAAAAGAAAACCCAAAGAGGATTTCACTGAATTGGTAAGCCAATGAGCCGCTCATTACCGTTAAAGCTTTTATCGTCTAACCTAAGGGGCATATTTCACCAGGAACAACCCGCCAACTATCTGCCGCTGCACACCATTTGAATGGCGGCCCACAAAAAGCCATACGGAAATGCATGAAGCAGCAGTGCTTGGTGGGTAGTGATCATTATATTAAGTAATTTTCTCAACACTCACACTGCTTTTTCCCTTTACCAAGACTTTATCCTAGTAAGCCACTGAAGGAAATACACCCCTTGTATACACAGGTGCACTCCCTCGACACATGCCCAGAGCTAAGGTCTTTTACTGGGCATGGGCCAAATGTATATAGGCCTAATTCATTCTGGTTCATTCATTTTTAAAAAAGGCTGTGCAAATTACACATATCTGGGATTCAAAACATCTCTTTAAAAATTATTTTTTTTCTCCAAAAATAAATTATGGCTGACCAATTTACCCTCCCTGAGATCCTTTAAAGCAACAGTAAAACTTGGAAAAGGAATGTCTTTACAATACCATACCAATGTTAAAAATGTAGATTGATGCTGACTATTAAAAACTACAGATAATGTATTTCAGAGCTTACGAGAATCATCTGGTTTTCCTTTGGTTCTTTTTTTCTTTTTTTAATAAATACTTTAAGAATAAGATTTCAAGAAAGAATAATTAGATATAAGAACAATTTAATAAGGAGCCCACCATGTTCAGAATTGAACTGCAGCTGCAAAGGCACTGCTCTGCTACTCCACATCTTTGAGCAGAGTTGCTTTATTCAGTTAAGCATAGGTTAAATTTTAAAACTGATACGAAAGGAGCTTGTGTTGCTACTTTAAACTGATAAAATGCATCAATTTCATTGCCTCCATACAATAGAAATAATATTTTTTTCAAACAAGTAATGATTACAGTTATAATCTAGCACCAAGTTCTGGCAAGTGGCCCTCTAAGAACAAACAAGCACATGGTATCCATTTTAAGATCATAAAAAAGTCACTGAAATTACAGCGAAGCACTCTGGGTCGCCTAAAAAAGCACACATATTGAGTTTAAAGGGTTGCTGCTGCTGTTGTTAAAACAATGTCCCGTATCTCCATTCTAGTGTTCTAAGCAGGTTAACACACAAGTTAGGTAAAACTGTAACACAACTTAAAAGTGGGAGGGAGCTTTTCTAAAAATCAAGGATAACAATTATTGGCCCTTCATAATTGCTCCCTTGCCATTATGAAACCTCATTCACAACCTTAGCTCCCACAGAATATTATTTTCTATAGACATGTCCCAAACTGACAATCCCGAACACATCATCATGGATGACAGGCTCATTTCAGAAAGGATCACCCTCAGGATGCACAATGAATTTAGTTAAAAAAGAAAACAAAACAGCAGTCAGTCATGGAAAATTTTGAAATGAGAACAAGCCATGAGACATCAGATCACATAGTAGCCTGATCAGAATATGGGGAGTTGGGGAGAAATCCTCGGTATTAAGGCTTTGGGCTACCTTTAATCATACAAGATGACAAACCCTTTCCCCACAGATGTTACTCCCTCCAAAACAATACAAATATGGACATTGGCTAGAATAAAAACTGTGAGATACAAGTTAGGATTTTTAATAGCAAAAACGGGAAATGTTAATGTGCAGCCATCATGTCTATGACTATTAAGAATTTTGAAACCAGTGTAACTGTTTTTTTAAAAAATTGGAACACTGCTGTTTGAAAGGACTGGGGACTTTATTGTTTTCAGATACTCTACTGGGAATGCAAGTGACCTGGAGCACCTTTTCAATTTCAAAAAAAGAACAAAAAGTAAGAAAATAGACATCTATCTTTGTCCAGTACTCTTCAGCCAAAGCATAATAAGAAAGCAAGGTCCTGTTTTCAGTCTGAACTTCCAGGAATACTCTGTTCATCTAAGACCAGTTCCGGTTCATTTTCCAAACGGCACTCACTGTCCCAGATCTTAAAATTGTTTAGCTTCACAGTGTTTCAAGCACCAGCGTTTCCATGTATTGGTTTCAAATAACCCTATATATAATTTTATTTATATATATATATTTATATATTTATATATAATTTATATCAAAACTGATAGTACACAGTATAACTGGAAGAATAGGGAAAACTGAATTTAAAACAATATACTGAAAAAACAAAAATGAGAGGATGAAGTTTGTGAATATAATAAATAAAAACCTATCTATAGCCCCCCCCTCCCACCTGCATCGTATTTCCTCACCAGAAATGAAACAAAATCTGTTTTAATGTTCATGGAAAAAAAATTGTGCACAGCAGATTTATAAAAAAGTAGAGTCAGGAGCACATCCCATTATAAATGATTGTTAGGTAAAATCATATAAACAATGGAATACACAAGTGTCAAAAAGTAATAGTCAGGGTGTGAAATTCCTTGGTGGCCTGATGTCCACGGCCAGCCTGTATAGTCCTGGTGTCATTGGTTAGGGAGTTGAGGCCCAAAAAGCAGGTTGAAACACAGGAGGAGGAAGAGAAGGAGGAAGTGGCACCAGTAGCTTTCCCAGGACTTCAGCCCTCGTGGACAGCTGGAATAGTTGGATTTCATACCCTGATTTCATAAGTTTCCTATAATTCCATGTGCAATTCTCAGAAAGATTCATCGTTGACTGCAGACATGTCGCCCTTTGGCGTTGATGATCGGGATGAGCCCTTGTCTGTGCTCTCAGAACCCGAGCTGCTCTGATTCTGCTGTTCTGATCCTGCACTGGAGGTCACTGTGGATGAAGATGTAGAGGAAGAGCGAGTCTTTTCTTTAAAGTCTGTGATAATTACTGTGACATTCCCCACTGTGACTGCCAGCTGCTGGGCGGTACTTCTGTCCACATTTTTCAGTCTGGGCCTTAAAATAATAAAGAAATAATTTATGAAGAACACTGATTACATATAACAGATTAGCCTTCTATTCAGGTTCATTTTAGTCAGCTTACTTTGAAGTAGAAGGTACAAAGAGAGAAGAGGTGCCAGTCCACTAATTAATGTCTATGTATTAAACAAAATTGCACCCAACTCTCACTCCGGCAGCATTTGACCTTTTGTTCTCCTAAAATGCTTAGTCTAGAAAGGCAGCCTGCACATTCACTCCCCAGCGAGCATGTGCGGCTGGGGAATCAATTTTTGGAACTCAGGAGAGATGGGGAGTTATTCTCTATTCCACTCAGTCAGGAAAAAAACAGTAACATGACAGAATTACACAGGTATCAAGAAAGCCTCAGGGTCCCTCCCGGAATACAAGGATTTCATGCTTGGAATTCTTTATCTTGTCAAGTGCCCCAAAGCTGTGACTTGTGCAATACAAAACCACAAGAAAGCATCTGCAAGGTGTGCTGTCTTTTAAAAAAAGAAATCTCTGTTGCTGAAAACACTACAGGCAGCAGCACAAGTCAGCATCCCCTTCCAACTGCAGGGATTTATACAGAGATGCAACCTAAACTACACATGTAGAAAATTGTTCAAACAACCTCTTCTGTGTTTGGCCACTGAAGACAATCAATGAAATAAGCACCATCAGTAAACAGTTTATTTCTATGGACTCTTCAGAGAAACAGACCAATAAAGAACCACAGATTCTCCTAGTGATTTGTTCCACCTTAACACGTGAGCAATAAAGCAACTAATAAAATGCTGGGTTATGTTCACATGTGAATGCAAAACCTTCATGCAAATGCAAAGTAAAGAAATAATTTCAAGATAGGGCTGTGTGGTAACTGTTGAAAAGTGTTTAACTAGAGCACTATGGCAAATGGTGGATGCAAATCATTTTGATTTATTCACTATCTAGGAAATCCAGCCAGCTGCTTTCCATCATGCTCAAGAATTGGGCATAAAATAGAATGAATTTAACCAAATGTAAGTGGCTGCTTTTAGTAATTAAACTATTCATTCTGTGGAGAAATGTAGAAACGGTACGTCAAGATCAAACCTTATACAGTGAGTTGGTTCAAGACAAAAAGTGTTGCAGACTCTTGTCCCACTTTGGCAGTTAAAAGATCTTGTAAAACATGGCAGTCGAAATGAAGTCCAACTGCATTAATGCCCAAGAAGAATCATATCATTGAAACCATTGCCACAAAGCTGCCCTGACTGACCACACACACTTCTCTTAAGTCATAGAAACTGAAAGAGCCCTTTGTATTCTACAAGTCACTGGGTCTATTTCTCTTCAATGTGCTGCTAAATCAGCAAAGGAGATGATACCTGGAAATATATGCATCAGTAGTTCATTTCAAATCATTATTTTGAAGGTAGAATAGTGCTTAGACAGGAGAGCTGGTCAAGGTCAAGTAGAAACCTTCCAACGGCATCAATGACAGGAGAAGTTAAGAAGTTAATGCTAATGAGAAGTTAAGAACTCTAAGTCTGAGGGAAAAATCAATTTAACAGGTCTAGAACACTGGCTAGGAGGAAAGTCAAATACCATGACAAAATGTTCAAAAAACTCGTTCCGGTCCTTCTCCCTGATCCAAGAATATCAGATCTTGGGTGTATTCTACATGACATGAATGGCATGCAATATATTAACAGCCCCATAATTGTCTTGAAAGGCATGCAATTCTAAGACAAGCTTAGCAATATACTAAAGACAACCTCAGCAGTGTGTTACAAGTCCTCCAAGACAATTATCTCAGGTGAATTCAATGTCACAGCTGAAATCACATCCACCCAAGAGAGGCAGAGTAACCTTATGGGCAATGAGAGTGAATGGTACATGAGCAAAATTCCAAATCCATTTCTCCATCCAAATTCCAGGTTCAAACACGCAAATCTTTAACTTCACTGAACAGATCTCTTGGTGAAGAACAGAAAATTCTTCTGAAGCCAAAACACTCCATCCACCCTGATATCCAGCCTACAGACAGGAAATGCGTGTCCAAGATGGCACTATGGAAAGGAGTCCTCCCAGACCCTTTAGTCAGGTGGCAGTAATATAAATAAATAAATAAATAAATAAATAAATAAATAAATAAATAAATAAAAAATCAGCACCTTCATGCATGACCAAAACCTTGTAATCATGTTTGAATTGCAGTTCCCATAATCCCCCAGGCAGTTTGGCTGGAGTTCTCAATTATTTTTACTGTCTTTACTTTTTACTTTAATGCTTCCTCTAGCCAACAAAGCTTGCAGGATCCAGACTTATTGTTTGCTGTTTGACAACATCTGGATAGCAATGTGATTCCTACTCCTCTTTTACATCATTCAAAAGGATCTATCATAAAGAAATAAATTCCACATCCCAACACAAGAAAGGAAACTAAATGTGAGAAAGAATGCAAAACACAACTCCACCCTATGAAGCCAAAGAACTAAAGAGCTTGTTAAATTACTCTCATTCAAAAAGATTATAAACAGAACATCCAGTCCTGTACAGCACTAACCTTTTTCCTTCTATGACTGCATAATTGTCAGAACAGTAGCTTTTCATTAAAGTCAAACCCTTACAAAAACCTATTCCCCATACAAAAACATTAAGAGAGTGAACAACTCAATTAACAAGTGAAAGAAAGCTTTGAATTGTTCAAAAAAGATTGGCTATGTACTACAATCCTCTAGAGAACATTTTGTCTGCATGTTTCATAAGGACAGCAATAGTGTTTTTATTGCATGAATGGCCTTTTCACATGTTAGCCTTTTGAAACAAGAGCTCACAAGTGCTACCAGAAAAACAAAAACAAGGAAGTTGCCATACAAACTGGTTTTATTTCCTTGGCCTTTGGCCATGGCTGTTTTTCTCTGAGCTTTTCAATCTAAATTAAATGTAAGGAAAAATAGCTGTCATGACTTTTTCTTAAAGACAAACTGCATATTATAGTCATGAATGCATAGTGATGTTTTCCTTGCCATGGTTATAGGATGAGGTAAAGAATAAAGAGCACTCTAGCAACATTTGCTTGTGGACTTCAAATTTGATGTACCACAGATGTATTTTGTACCCTAGTATTCAAGATCGAGCAAAGGATCGCCGCCTTGTCGTGGCACTGGAACTTGAGCACCTCAATGATGTCATGAGCAAAAACGTGAAGGGTCACCCAAGACGGGACGGTCGTGGCAGAGAGTCAGACCTGGCGCGATCCCTGGTGAAGGCAATGGCAAACCACCCCAGTATTCTTGCTAAGAAAACTAAATGGACCAGTACAACAAGAGATATGTCGGTATGTCATTGGAAGATGGGACTCCCAGGTCGGAAGATGGCCAAAATGCTACTGGGGAGGAGCAGAGGTAAGTTCAACTAGCCCCGGATTTGATGATGCAGCTAACTCAAAGCCGAAAGGAAGGCTAGCGGCCGATGGTGCTGGAGGTGAACGACGAATCCGATGCTCTAAAGATCAACACACCATAGGAAACTGGAAGGTAAGATCTATGAGCCAGGGCAAACTGAATGTTGTTACTGGTGAGATGTCAAGATTAAAGATAGACATTCTGAGGGTCAGAGAACTGAAATGGGCTGGAACGGGCCACTTCACGTCAGATGATCACCAGATCTATTACTGCGGACAAGAGGAACACCGAAGAAATGGAGTAGCCTTCATAATTAATAAGAAAGTTGCTAAAGCAGTGCTTGGATACAACCCAAAAAATGACATAATGATCTCAATTGGAGTGCAAGGAAACCCTTTCAACATTATAGTGATCCAAATATACACCCCAAACCACAGCTACTGAAGAAGCAGAAGTAGATCAGTTCTATGAGGATCTGCAGCATCTACTGGATAATACACCAAAAAGGGACATTATTTTCATTACAGGAGACTGGAATGCCAAGGTGGGAAGTCAAATGACAACTGGGATCACAGGCAAGCATGGTCTGGGACAACAAAATGAAGTGGGACACAGGCTGATAGAATTTTGCCAGGAAAACTCAGTATATAACGAACACTCTCTTCTAACAACCTAAAAGACGGCTCTATACATGGACTTCACTAGATGGTCAACACCGAAATCAGACTGACTACATCCTTTGCAGTCAAAGGTGGCAGACATCCATCCAGTCGGTGAAAACAAGACCTGGGGCTGAATGTAGTTCAGATAACAACCTTCTCACTGCTTAATTTAGAATAAAACTAAAGCGATCAGGGAAAACACACAAACCAGTTAGATATGATCTCACTAACATTCCTAGCGAATATACAGTGGAAGTGAAGAACAGATTTAAAGGACTAGATTTAGTAAATAAGAGTCCTAGAAGAACTATGGACAGAAGTCTGCGATATTGTTTAGGAGGCGGCAACAAAGTACGTCCCAAAGAAAAAGAAAACCAAGAAGGCAAAATGTTTGTCTGCTGAGACACTGGAAGTAGCTCAAGAAAGGAGGAAAGCAAAAGGAAACAGTGATAGGGGGAGATATGCCCAATTAAATGCCTGAAGAGACAAGGAACTATTTTTAAACAAGCAATGCATGGAAGTGGAAGAAGACAACAGAACAGGAAGAACAAGAGACCACTTCCAGAAAATTAGAAACATTGGAGAAAATTTTCAGGCAAAAATTGGCATGATAAGAAACAAAGATGGCAGAGACGTAACAGAAGCTGAAAAGATCAAGTGAAGGTGGCGAGACTATACAGAAGATCTGTATAGGAAGGATAATAATATCGAGGATAGTTTCGATGGTGTGGTGAAGGAAGTAGAACCAGACATCCTGAGGTTGAATGGGCCTTAAGAAGCATTGCTAGCAACAAGGCAGCAGGAGATGACGGGATCCCAGCTGAACTGTTTTCAATCTTGAAAGATGATTCTGTCAAGGCGATGCATGCCATAAACCAGCAAATATGGAACACAAGAATGGCCATCAGAATGGAAAAAATCAATTTATATCCCCATACCAAAATGGGGAATGCCAAAGCCTGCTCAACTTGTATGCAGAAAACATCATGTGATGTGCGGGGCTTGACAAATGCAAGGCTGGGGTAAAAATTGCTGCAAGAAACATTAGATATGCAGATGATACTGTGAAGATCCCTTACCTTGCCAGCCGGGGGTGGCAGGGCCTAGGAAGAGACAGGCTAGGTAGTTTCAGCTTAGAAGGCCTGGCAGAGGGCAGCAGGAGCCATCTTAGTTTAGGGAAAAGCTCCAGTTCAGAGAGGGGGAGTGGCCTAGGCCTGAGCCAGCCCTGAAACAGCCAGGATTGGTTTGTAAAAGGGGGGCGGAGTTAGACTGTTGGAGGGAAAGAAAGAAGCTGTTTTTAGTCCAGTTCTGGGTGATGTTAGAGTAGGATTAGAGTTTTAGGAGTCTCTGTTAGGAATAGGCAGCTTGCCTGTAGTTTGCACAGCAAAGTAGGCTGTGGCAGACTGGTTACAGCTATTTTAGAGGAGAAATAGCTGGGTTTTGTTTAGGAATTGTAACAAAGAATAGAACCATTCTCTCAAAGCAACCGTTACGCTACTAAGAACCAAGAACACTTTGATTGTAACAGCCAAGCTTTTGAACCTGCATTCACTTTCATTCTGTAACCTTTCTATTCAATAAACTTTCATTGTTATTTTTTAAAACTTAAGCCTGAGTCTAGTGCCTTTTGTAGATTCAGTCCCTTTTCCTTTTAATTCAACCTCAACCTGTTTCCCTTCAGAGAAACCCTTCTAAAAGACACAGTCCTTGGTGTTTTAAACAACCTTTTTAACATTCTCAATAGCTAGAGGGTTCTTGATTATTTGGTTTATGGTGGCAGCGAAGGTTGTAATAAAGAGACATCCCCTCAAACGCTATAAGTGCCAAAGTGGTGTGAATTCCTTATCAAAGGAGGGACAGTGTTGGGATCTGTTTACCCCCTGTCCAGTCATATTGTTTGGCCGTAAAGACTGCCTTTATGATTAGGGGTAGATGGTGGGATTGATCGCATTGCCATCTGCCTGGTTATTATAATTGGTGGGACAGTGGTGGGTTTGTTAGACCCCCTGCCCAACTAGCATAAAGGAGTTATTATAGATACCACTTTAGATATGCAAATGATACCACTTCGATGGCCGAAAGCGAGGAGGAGCTGAGGAGCCTTCTAATCAAGGTGAAAGAAGAAAGTGCAAAAGCTGGGTTGCAGGTAAACATTTAAAAAACCAAGATTATGGCAACAAGAATGATTGACAACTGGGAAACAGAGGGAGAAAATGTGGAGGCAGTGACAGACTTTGAATTTCTAAGTGCAAAGATTACTGCAGACACAGACTGCCGCCAGGAAATCAAGAGATGCTTACTTCTTGGGAGGAGAGCAATGTCCAATCTCGATAAAATAACGAAGAGTAGAGACATCACACTGGCAACGAAGATCCGCATAGTTAAAGAAATTGTATTCTCCATAGTCACCTACGAATGTGAGAGCTGGACCTTTGGGAAGGCTGAGCGAAGGAAGATAGATGCTTTTGAACTGAGGTGTAGGAGGAAAGTTCTGAGAGTGACTTGGACCGCTAGAAGATCCAACCAGTCCATACTTCAGGAAATAAAGCCCGACTGCTCATTGGAGGGAAGGATAGTAGAGGCAAAGATGAAGTACTTTGGCCACATAATGAGAAGACAGGAAAGCTTGGAGAAGACAGCGATGCTGGGGAAAATGAAAGGAAAAAGGAAGAGGGGCTGACCAAGGACAAGATGGATGGACGGTATCCTTGAAGTGATTGGATTGACCTTGAAGGAGCTGTGGGTGGTGACGGCCGACAGGGGGCTCTGGCGTGGGCTGGTCCATGAGGTCACTAAGAGTCGGAAACAACTGAACGAATGAACAACAACAATTCAAGACCAAGTACAAATATCTACTAAGAACTATCTTCTTGTTCCTACTTTTGCGAGAAGGGATGATAGCATGCAGAGCCTCATAAGGAGCCTGCTTCTTCTATGGAAGGGAAGAGGAACCTATACACTTGCCCAACAGGAATTCTGGTGCACTCAGATAACGGAGACTGAGGTGAGCAATTTTGGTGTGTACTTGGCCAATTCTCCATCCTCTTGGCTGAAAATTCATCCATTCAGTAGGAACCAGAAACACTTCCCCCAAGTTCAGGTTGTAAGGGAATGAGGTAAAAAAGGCATGTTTTTTCCCCAATCACCTTGCTTTAAATTTAAAATGCCATCTCTGAACTGCAGCACCAGCAAATACAGAAAAACTGTTAGACACAAGAGGTCGATATGTGTGTAATTGGGATAGGTATGGTTAATGTAAATAAGATACATTAAATTGAGAGAAAATGTAAGCAGAATTTTATTATCAAGATTAGTATTACCCTACTTATGTTCACAATTAATAAAAATACGTTTTTTTCATAAGTTACCTTGAAGTGTGATTTGAGTCACTGGTCTTTGTTGTCGTATTCCCAGACTGTATGCTGTTTGCTTCACTTGGAGGATCTTTCACAATATCTGACTTTGGTCTGAAAGAAAGAGAGGCACAAAAAAAACTTAATGCTAAAGAGCATTTTTCCTGGAAAAATATAAATACTACAGCACGTTACGTTAACACCCAAGAGGCTTTATTCACTTATACACACACACAACACAACACAAACACACCACAAAAGCAGCTGTCACACTCATCAATAAAATCATAAATTGGAAGAAGAAGGAAAAATCATCCTAACAGTTATATAAAGCATAAACGTGCATCACTCCACTCCTCTCCCCACTCAGAAAGGATACAAATATAAAGTTGGGGTAGCAGAATGGAAGAAATCTTGTCATGAATTAAGAGATGGAGGTGGCACTGAGTGTGGGGAGAGAGAATGACTGAGCAATCACAGAGTTTAGGGATCACTACAAATAATGCATTGGGAAATCTTGAGATCTTCTGGGATTAACTGAAAACAAGGGTGGGAGAACAAGGTTGTACATGACTACGGGTTACGGATACATTAGATCATTTGCATATTGATATAGAATCTAAAAGTTTGGAAATGACTGCTTTCAATGGGTGGTTCAGAAACATACTTAGTCTTCTTGGTGGTACTCTTCTTTATAACACTTTGACTAATTTCTTTTTCTTTGTCTGGTTTTTTCTCTTCCTGCTTTTCCACCTTTTCTTTCTTCTCCTTTTTAGGAGGTGGTGGGGTAGCATATTGCTGAGCAACTTGTTGTGCAACAAGCTGAGAATTTATCCTAGGTTTCCTATGAAGTGAGAAGAAATAAAAAAGGGATACTTATTGTCAGTGACTATATTCAAACAAATGGGTGGCTGGAACCAAGCATCAATAAAACAAACATTTCATCAAAAAAGGGAAAGTTTTGTCTCAACTAGCAAGTGTGTCATGTCCAAAAATTTAAAGTGGTACATTCACACAAATGTTAGCATTACACTTCAAAGCATTTGAACACCTTCAGAATATTACTTTTATATGAATTGGGGGTTCTAACCATTACTTATTTTAGAGAAGTTTCCTCTTTTCACAACTGATCTTCAAAAAACAAAACCTTACACATTAATATATTGTGTCCATCCAAAAACAGCCTGAAAATCTTGACCTAGCACACTGTATTACCTCTTAAGAAACCTAGTGCTCGTGTTTTCTAAAAACAACTCACTCGAGTCCATCCTGATTACTGAAAGAGTGCCATTCTGAAGTCTAGATATAAAGATGAGCTATATAGGCTACTGAAAGCCAACAAATCACTCTTGTGTCTACAGTTTGAAGTGTTATGCCAACTGATTGCTTTCAGGCTATTTTTTGTATTTCATTAAATGGACAGTACTAAACTGTTAAATGCAGAAAACACGAGTTAGTAACATCTCATTCAACTGAAATTACTCAGAATAAATCCTTCTTTCTTGAATCTATACGTCTGACAATCACAACAGAGAGACTGTCAATCAGAGAAAAGCTAAAACAAATGGTACATTCACTGTGTCATCATTAGCAGTCACGTCTCTGCCAGCCTCCAACTGGCACTGTTTCTCAATACTTTCTCCTACAAGCTTCTACAATCATGACAACACATTAACACATAAACTTGAAAGGGCAACAGGGAAGCAATAAAACTGACAGGTAGTTATAATAAATTCTGAAATTAAAAGATGTATTTTACAGCTGACATTAGCCTGTCATTTGTATAGAGTAGTTTCTGTTGCTCAGGTGCTAGCAAAGTTTGTAGCCTGGAGAGCCTTTGGAAATGTCCCAAGACCTGGGGGGAGCATTTGCACTGACGATTGGGAGTTTGGTCCATGGATTCAATTTAGTCCCCCGTCCCCCCACTTAGAGGGGAGGGAATTCTATTATCACCTACAAACATCTGTAAGCAGGTGGTGGAGTGGGGATTAGGATTGTGGCAAAGAATAATGACAAAAATAAAACTGATCTAGTGAAAAGGTAAAATCCTTTTTTTAAAAAACAGAGCAAAATATGGGCCATAGTCGCCAGAAACACCTCAGCTGTACACCTGAACTAATGTATTGTATTTAATGCATATAATTGAAAAAATACATAAAAACCTCAACAAGCCCTTTTGAAAACTACTTAAGACATGAGTGTGAAGAAAACTGTTCTATTTTCTTTCAACACTAAGTCACTGGGAGAGTGAAAGGGAGCCTTGTTTTCACTTTCCACTAAAAACGTACCAGCACCTGATAATCATGAATTCATTCCAAATAAATCTTTATCTCTGTCATTATTCTTCATAATTCCTGTGAACACAGCATGTTACCTAGCACTTTCTGCACTTCCACACACTTCTGTCAAATGCAAGTCTAATGTATTTCCATCTTAGGCTGATGGCTGCTAACTCCGAGAGCTAAATCTAAACATATTGCTTTGTCATAGGAATATTTTGTTGATATATAAGCTAGTTATTTCTTAAATAATTATGTAATTAAATAATTATACTAATTCAAAGAACAGCAAAGAATGCAGAAAACCCGTGTTTTCTGCATTCCAAAGCAAATCCAAAGAACAACAACCTTTATAAGAGGGGATATGGCAACAGATCCAAAGAAACCGGCAGACTTTCATTGCTCTTCTGAAGATTGGGGTGATCGCTTAGGAGAAACCCTCTCTGCTCCCCGAAAATGCATTCCAATGAGAGTAAATATGCCTATTGGCTACAGAATGCTGATTGCTTAGTAGGTGGGAGAAGGGGACACAAGAATAATGAGAAATGGAATGTAGAATGGAGAAACTAGAAAAGGAAAAAAGAAGAAATGGAGAAAGAATCATCTTGTAGTCTAAATATCTGTATGTCCCAATGACAAAAGTGAGAGCTGACCAATAGAACAATGGAGAAATGAAAACTTCTAATGTAGCTGTGCTTCCATCCACATACTTTTCCAAATTTCCAGAGAGGTAGCATGAAGGAGAACAATTCTCTTTCTACCCCAATACTTATTTACAGTGAACATTTTAAAGATAAATTATTCTCCCATATTGCAAAGAACAATAGCAGTCATGTAAGGTAGTTCATACTACAGGTTAAGTTCTGAGTGTTTTACACAAATCCTGCAATGTTATGCGGAAGTGTTACTCTTACTCAGTCGGTCTGGAGCTGATAGATAATCCAGCAATGCTATCTATTAGGATCATTTCAGCACTGCAGACTGGGTAAGAGAGAGTGGCAAACAACAATACTGCAACGTATTTTCTTATCACAACACTATAGCAGGTTAGAAGGCTGTGCAGGAAGAGAATAGTTTATTGTAGCACTGTAAGAAACAGCATCTAGTCCACAGTTAACACGGTAGGTATAGGCAGGAGGTGAAAGAAAAGTTGGCCTCATTTTTTTGACACTGAAGCAAAAGTCAGCCTTCTAAGATTCTGGATAATTTCTGAGGCCAACTGAAGCTAAATCCTCATGCTCTACTAATTTAGAGGAAGACTATTGCTTCTACTGCCATTGTTCACATTCTGGATACATTGATTTTGTAGCCAAAGTGCTGAACACATGCTGAAGTGAAAAGATGTAAGTAGAATTGGCAGAAAGCGAGTATTTACAGAATTACAAAATTCTTTAAGAGGGAAAAAAACTGTAAATCTACACTATAAAGTTCAAGTATAGCATGTGACCATGAGATTCAAAATAACTAAGACCCGCCGCAAACTAGGTTCCTGCGGGAGAAAACCTTGCCAGCACGTCCCTGACGTCATGAGCCTGCGCCTCTCGCCCCGCCCCTTTCTCCGTGCGAGAGTGGTTTTTCCTTTGCTAGGGCAGCATTGCCAGCGTACTCTCTCAGTTGGCAGAATTCAACTGAGAGAAAATGCGGGCAATGCTGCCCTAGCAAAGGAAAAATCACGCTGGCAAAGAGAAAGGGGTGGAGAAAGGGGCGGGGAGAGAGGCGCAGGCTCATGACGTCAGGGACGTGCTAGCAAGGTTTGCTCCCACACCAAATCTAAGACCCGTCGCAAACTAGGCTCCTGCGGGAGCAAACCTTGCCAGCACGTCCCTGACGTCATGAGACTCCGCCTCTCGCCCCGCCTCTTTCTCCGTGCCAGAGTGGTTTTTCCTTTGCTAGGGCAGCATTGCCAGCATACTCTCTCAGTTGGCAGAATTCAACTGAGAGAATATGCTGGCAATGCTGCCCTAGCAAAAGAAAAACCACTCTGGCACGGAGAAAGGGGTGGAGAAAGGGGCGGGGAGAGAGGCGCAGTCTCATGACGTCAGGGACGTGCTGGCAAGGTTTGCTCCCGCAGGAGCCTAGTTTGCGGCGGCTCTAAGGATGGAGTATATAGGGCCCATGCTGCAACATTCCGCTGCAGTTAAGCCTCACTTAATCAAGATGGCATATGTATGAATAATCAAAGCTAAGAGTTGGACTTTATGCTAAGACCTATGTATTTTACCATCTACATCCTAGAGAATGACAGAACCCAGCACAATTAATAGAAGAATGCTGCCTCTGATTTTATCAGGCTTGAATACCATTAAAATTTCTATTTTATTAGCAATCTTAGTAACAATTAATAGTGTGCTGCCTTGGTTATTTGAGCACCAAGGTAGCACACTATTCCTCATCTTTACAAAATGGACTGATTAGACATTACAGCTTAATCTATTAAAATCTAGTATAGTAAATGAGACGTTTTGGATAAAAACAGCACTACCTCCTCCACACAAAACTGGCAACTTATTTTGCAGATTTTCCTACCTAATCATGTAGAGCATTGAATATTTTTAGTACTTATTCTGATTTGAGATTTCAGCATAAAATGGAGATTAAAATGGTGGGAACTAAGGAAGGCAGGCTTTAGTAACACATCTCACCTACTAACAGCTATCCAAAACATTCCCTCCCATCCACCCATTTCATGTGACCATTATTGGTTTGTTTTTTTATATTACCTACCTACACTGGAATATTTCCATGACATTTTTGAATCCCTTTATCCCTTCAGGGCAACTACTGAGTCCTGGACAATCTGTCTGGCCTGCTTAGGGCTACATGATGCCTAGCACAATATGTTGGATCTTTCTTGTGGATTTAAAGACTCCCGTCAATTGAATGCTTTTGATCCTATAGGGGATTCTGATGGCGTGAAGGAACAACGTTCATAAATTTTCTTTCCTCCAGAAGATGCACATTGCTACAACAGGAAGGTACAATCCACAATGTCACCTTTGAACGCCTGCACTGAACTCTGAGCAAAGGACAACCCAAATGAAAGGTCTAAATTCCTATTTAGTATATTTCAGAATTAAAATACAACCAAAACTAATTTAAAGCATAGGATATAAAATGTTTAAATACTGAGAACAGGTACTTCCTTCAAGGACAGATATCAACTTATCTGATAAGGAAACCAGGCTACGGGGTTTTAGAAATGTGGTACTCCTAATGTTTGCCAAGCTACAGTTACTAACCAAAGTGGCCAGAGAACCTTGAAAAAAGTTACAAGGTTGCACCATCACCTGGCATATTTGCAAGTCTAACCTATAGAGTAGGCATGAGCGATTCCCCCCCCCCCCCAAAAAAGGTCCTAACTGGTGATTTGATTCTAAAGTCATTTCTGAATTTTTCCGGAAAAAAATTGAAACTTTCCAAAACTTCTGAATCTTCTTGTTAATGGCTTATGCATATGTGCAATAGGGGAAAACAGTACTGACACTGGGGAAACTTCTGAGGCTTTTCTCTCCCTTCGAACAGAAGGGAGGCAGTTGCCCCCCCCTCCCCCCAATAACTTTGGTGC